ACAATTTCCGGGTGAAAGTGAACGGCAGCAATTTTTTTTCTCTCATTGTTGTCGTATGTTCGTGTGTAGGTGAATGAGTCTACATTTTGCAGCAGTAGCATTGGAGAGAATGCAATCCTGCAGCGCCTAGCCTGCATCCCACCCGATGTTTCAGAGCATGTGATTTCCACGGGAAGTTTTAGAACAACGGCTCCCAGTTGTGCTTTGCTTTCAAATAACCGAATTCAGGAAAACTGCTCAAAAATTCTCTTGTATTTTAACTGCTCTGAAAATCCTCGGGTTTCCTAAGAATTTGTAAAGGAGTTTTACAAGACTGACATGATTTATCAAGAGGTTATTTTCCGGTGACTTTTTGTTTGGAACATTACTTTTCGGCTAATAAAGAAACACTAATGCTATGTATTTTCATGATTTGCTAATTTGGATATTGATTCGTACCGGATCGGGATTTGTACTGGTTTCAAATTCAGACAACACCAAGCAACCCCTTCTCGCATACTAACATTTCTAATTTGTACTACGAAATACGCAGTACAGCAATTTCTTTGGTTTCTAAACATTCGTTCCTATCCAGGTATCTGCTACTATTCTCTGCAAACCGCGCCAATGTCAGTTGTAAATCCACAATTACAAACTGAACTTTCGTGATATCAATTTCATCACATTTCCGATGAGAATCGCAAAAAAACGAAATTTCTGCCTTTTTGCTTATTCAGATTTATAATGTGTGCTTTGGCACAACAATAGTCGGAATACTGAGATGCAGAAGCGAAGAAATATGTCCATTTTTTGACGCGCATGAATTTTTAGTAGCAGTCAATGAATTTTGAATTTTCAGTACTAATTAATGAGTTTTGTAGTGTTTAAAGAGTAACATCCTTAAATAATATTTTTCGTCACTGACATGCCAATATTTGCCAAAAATATTTAACAGCCTGGTTCTTCACATGTGCAGCTGGCAGTACTTCTCCAATTCCATCAGTTGATAGTGCATAGCCTGTTCGTCAGTCTAATGGCAGTCCCCAAGTTTGGGTTATTAAACAAAAATTTGAAAAAAAATCTTTGTTTTCCAAGAATGTGCTGGAAAATCTTTTTCCTGATCATAATTCTCGCGTCGTCTCTGTTTATGAAAATTTCGTCAAAATAAACTTTTTCTTTAATCGAATTTTGTCAATCGGTTTGAAATAATCTGAATGACACAGTTCGCCCCAAATTCTTGTTTTGCGTTATTTTTGAAACGAACGCAAAAAAGCATTATTTTATCAGCTTCATGGATCTGAACAAGTGCCACCGATGCCATCTTGCTTGTCTAGCGGTTTCCCCTTCGTTTCAAGTGTGTGACGTCCTTTGCTCTTTCTCGATTGGAAGCAAAATTTTTTGCAAGAGCTAGCAGCTGGTCAACGCTGTACTGTAGCATCACTTTAAACTGGGCGTCATCGGAGTGCATGTGTGTATGTGTGTATGACATCATAGCGATATTTAAATTCGATAAGTGTCAATCATTTGCAATCCGAAAAGTGCTCCTAGCTTGGATTCCATCGTATGCGGCCGATAAATTTTTATGATTTTTGAAGAGATAAAAAGCGGAAAAAGTGGAATTTCCCAAGTAATAAATGACAGTGGACGATTTTTTTTTATGAAATGCATTTGAAGTATTTGAATAAATTATAATTTTCTATAAATTTGCACAAAAC